AACCAGTTGTGCACCCACCTTATAGTAATTTCATCTGGACCACCTTTCCCATATTTTCTTATAAAAATGTCATATGGGATGGTGTCAAAAGTCTTACTAAAAATCAAGATATAGGTTGGTTTGGCATGATGATCACTTATAGCTTTAAAATCTACGAAACAACAGCTATGTTAAAAATGTATTTGCTCCATGAAAATATCACACTGTAAGTGACACAATACAGTGTTTATACCTTGAGACATAGGACAGTTACAAGAGGACCTATTGCCTCAGCTAAATAGAGAAGGGCATTGGCAGGCCTTTTGGGATTCATTTAAAATAAATAAAAACAAATTTCTTGTACTTTCTCAGTCAGGACCATGAACCCAAGTGTTATTTTATAGGTAGGGAGAGGAGTTTAATCTTTCTGTATCTACTTTGGGGTTTTATATCTGTGCCTATCAGTATAGTATGTGAGCACCTTCTATAAGAGGTAGGGAGTTAATAATCTGAACATCTCTCACGTAACACCTTCTGAGTCAGGATAAAAACTGCATTGGGAAAAGGGAAGAAAGTTGCCCTTGCTCTCCTGCTCCATGCAGCTCTCCATGGGAGGCACCCATTGATCTAAAGAAATATGCTTCAGTAGCCTGACTGGGCTTTGTGCTGAATAGCTTGCCTATGGCTGAAACAGAGCCACATTTTCCAATTTATGTGCCTCAGAAGACTGCAGATCTTTTCAGCTCATTAAGGCTAATAGAAAATAGAAAACTAGTTTGCATATGCTATTCTTCCTACTGTTGGCAGCACCTACATTCACACAACAAACATAGGCATCGACTCTGTGGGTGCTCCAAAAAAACCAGTGGATGCTCAGCACCTACCGGCAGCCTTGTGGATCAGCTCTTCCTCCTCCCTTCCTGCCTGCCGCAATCAGCTGTTCAGCGGTGTGCAGGAGGCGCTGGGAAGGAGGGGGAGGAGAAGGGACAGGAAGAGAAGGGGGAGTGGTGGCGCAGGGGTGGGACTTGGGGGAAGGGGTGGAGCGGCCGAGGGATCTGGGGCAGAGCAGGGGTCCAGAACCCCTGGGGAAATCACAAAGTCGGCACCTCTGACAACAAACACAATGGACCACGTTTACTTCTGGTGCTATTCCATCAGAACTAGAGCTGTTTTAGAGTTGGTAAAGTGTCCACAAAATGAAACCAATTTAATGAAAATTTTCAGCAAGATTTCATGCATTTAATTCTTCATGGATTGGAAGTTTAAGAAAAACTGAAAAGCTGCTTTTATTGAAAAATCCAAACTTGTACATTTTTAAAATTGCTCCCAAAAGAGAAGCCTCACCTGTCTCCTTTCCACTGAGCTATGTGGCCTAATGGGTTAAGTACAGGGCTGGTCCTAAATTCCACCTCTCCTACCAATAAGGCTAAGCAATATTTTTGTATACAAATAGCATTTTAGAAACATTTAGTTGTGAGGTATCACTATTAGACAGATGAGGAAACCGAGTATCAGAGACATAGCCAAGATTACACAGCAATTAGTGTCAGAACCAGGTAACTCCCGGTCCTATTCCTAATCCATCAGATTCCCCACTAGAGTCACTGAAATAGTTCACAAACCTGTAAAACACTTAGCAGTCTGCCATCTTAAATCCTGTACATATCCAGATTTCACATATGCCAGGTAGCATTAAGCCAGATCCTGGCCCCTGCTCACACCCCTTGTACAGTTCCCGTAGGTCACAAGATATGGAAAGCTATGCTAATGAAGTAGTGGATGGAAGAACCCTGCCTGGTGTGTGACAGAATGGGAGGCAAGGCTGCCATAGATGCCCTGCTCCACTCCCCCATCGAAACATAACAAAGGCACTCCACTCTTGCCCTTCCCACCACCACATGGCCAAGCACAGTGACTACAGGGCACTAGAGCTTCAGTAACCTCCAGGCAAGAGTTGAAGGTGCAGGAAAGAAATAGGGACACAGTCTACTTAGCATTTGCATGAGTGTGCCAACACCACAAGCAACTCCACAAAACACACCTGTGAAGCAAATACATATTCCATATGTGTCCTTTACCCTCCCTCCCCATTCCCTGGGGTTTACCATCACCAGGAACAGTCTGACTTCTGGCACTCTGGCTTGTTCAGTCTTATGATGATTAGGGTCACAAACTAAGCCCAGGATTTCGTCCAATTTTGATATACAATAAGTTCCATGATATCAATTTTCTTGTGGTACTGTTTCATAAAGCAATGTAAGTGTTAACATTACTTTACTTTTCCCTGTACATGTGAAAATTTCTCTTGATGAAGATTATCAACTTAATAATAAATAAAGATTAATTAATAAAAAGGAATTTTAAAAAATGAAAATGAGAATACAGCAAACAAAATGGAACCTATAGTTATATGTTCATATCCCCAGAGTCTACAGTTCTGCCTTTCATGAAATAAATTGAAAAATGAATTATTAACTTTAAAAACCAAGATGAAATAAGAGATCATTTTATGCTCTGTTCATTTATTTCTGCTACTTTATTAGAAATTGCATATGTGTGTGTGTATTTGGATGACACACTGACTGAACAACTGAATTAATGGTGCAAGAGGCGCTGGATTAACAGCACCGGAAACTGAAGGCATCTATTACATTAAATACACACAAAAAGGTAATGATGGTGCAAGCTTCATCATATTGTGGTACCAAGCATTTCAACCATTACCAAAAGGTCCCACTTTCTGTAAGACAGGCTCATTGTTCATCATGCCCATTCAGCTCTTGCCCTCTCTGCTGAGCCTGCCAACAAAAATACCAACTGTGATGTGGACACTTGTCCATAGGAGATCAACAACTCATTTCACATATTGTAGCTGACCAAATGGATTTCAAATGTCTTTCAGTCTCTATCAACATGGGCAAAATTTGAAATACTGACTTAGAGTTGGCAAGTCTCATATCCTATTATCAATTCCCTGAGCCGTCTATTCCTCACAGAAATTCTATGTTGCTGATAAAAAAGTATATTTGAATTCCAATTTCCTCTCAATTAGATTTAATCTACTAGAATAAGGTAATAAGGCTTTATAAAATGGGATGGTCTTTGTGTAACTTCTAACAAAATTAAATATAAATGAACTGTGGGAGTAAGATCAATGGAGTACAAAATGTCTTCTTGAATTTTCCTTACAGCAAGTCATTCTAATCAGCTGTGAGTTCTTGCACACTGGGTAAGAAAAAATTATACCCAACTGTAGGGTACCAATGAAACACATAGGACAACCTCAAAAATTCTAGAACAAAGAAATACATGCACAGTTTAATGTACAGAAGCTTAAGAAAAGGTTCTGCCATTGCTTAGTATAACTAAATGCTGTATATGTGTCCACCAGGGACATAATCAACCTCAAGTACTATATTAGCCCTCCCATGGATTTGATTAACTTAAAAATTCCCCTCCACAATCCTGACTGCAATCATCCCCAAAATACAGTGAAACCACAGGCAAACCCCTATCTTAAGTGATCACTTTAAATTATCCCCATGCAGTATCCAGTAGATTTTTGTATGACCTTTTGTGAAAGAACATCTCTAGCTACCCATTTTTTTCTGGTCTCTTCGGTGGTTGTTTAAGCCATGGTCTACTGTTTCCTTAATTGCAGAACAAGAGTCTTAAAGCAGATCACTATTTCTAATGCTGTAATGTTATTTTGGAAGTATATTCTTCTAGACTGGAATAGTGCTGAAAAATGAGTTCAAGGCACAAGTATTCTGAGCATTTTTTCTCTCCGGTGCTTGGCTGACTGGTTCTTGCTCACATGTTCAGGGTCTAACTATCGTCATATGTGGGGTCAGGAGGGAATTTTCCCCCAGGTAGAGTGACCAGATATTTAGGTGTTTGTCCTGCGTCCCAACCGATCTTTGGATCATGGATACGTGCAGCACTAGGGTTTTTTTTGTTGTTTTGTTTTTTCTCTGCTGGCAGCACTCGGCTTTTTTTTTTTTGCTCCGCCGGTGAACACCCCCCACCCCAATGTGTCCCGATATTTTCTTCCTCTCATCTGGTCACCCTACCCCCAGGTCAGATTGGCTGTGATGCTGGGGGGGGGGGTTCACCTTCCTCATAGCATGTGGGTGCAGGTCACTTGCCAGGATTATCTGGATATGTCTCATTTAATCATTTCCCTGGGGGGCCTTGAGCACAGGTGCACCTCAATCCATCCCATTCTCTGTCTGTGGCACATAATAATCTAGTCTTCTGTGGGTCTCATTTACTTTGGTCTGATTTCCATTGTTGGGTTTAGTGTGTGGGTGCCGGGTGGTACTGGTGGCCTGTGATATATGGGAGGTCAGACTAGAACAGTGGCTCTCAAACTTTTTTACTGGTGACCCCTTTCACACAGCAAGCCTCTGAGTGCGACTCCCTTTTAAATTAAAAACAGTTTTTAATATATTTAACACCATTATAAATACTGGAGGCAAAGCGGGGTTTGGGGTGGAGGCTGACAGCTCACAACCCCCCGAGGGGTCCCGACCCCCAGTTTGAGAACCCCTGGACTAGATGATCTGGCAGTCTCTTCTGGCCTTAAACTCTATGACTTGATGTATCTGCATGTCTAGCCAGCCAACCAATCAAATAAGACTGCATTCAAAGATGGGGATAGTGGTGACTAAGGCTTGTTGACACAGTTTTTGTCAACTTTCTTTTTAGTGGAAAATAAGATTTTGGTTTAAATGAAAATCTTCACAGAAAATGTCTGCTTTTTTTTAAATGTTTTGATTTTTTGCCAGAAAACTGAAACCTCCAAAACCAACATTTTTTGGCTGAAAACTGAAAAAATTTCAGTAGCTAGAAAATTTGCTGTTTTCCAACAAAGCTGAAATTTTCCACAAAAGGTCCCAAACAAACCATTTTGCAACCAGCTCTATTGGTGACATCTCTTTTGAAAGGTACATACATCTTCCTTTCAGATTTCAAAGTATATTATTTGACAGAAAGAAGCACCACACAATAAAACTTACGTTGGCATTCTTTACAGCACTTGCCATCCACATATGCAGGAGCAGAATTCAGTAGACAATCAAAAAATGGGCAAATCAGTGCTTCGCATTGCACAGTACCATTCTGGGAAGAAGAAAAAAAAAGGTTTTAATATAAAATAAAGTTTTTGTGAAATACATGAATTTATAAGCGGTTTCTTAAACGTGAAAAACTCCTCAGCAATACCAAAATAAGTCATATTTACAATGTTTCTCTTAATTATTATTATAAAGAAAGATTCAACCCTAAGTCTTTAAAAAATTATTACTCCAAGTAGGCTTTTTATATGAGTCTGATGTGTTCATTAAGATGAAAGTAGTTTTGCTTGGTAAAAAGAAATCTTAAATCATTTGGCGCATAGACATTCTGCCAATCAATTGCAAATTGGTAGATTAGTGTGAAGTATAAAAGCCTCATAGAACAATACTGTGCCTTACAATTTTCACATGAAAGACTGAATTCATTTTTAAAAAGATAATATCATAGCTGTATGAAAAATCTGAGACAAAAACATAGCATGTATTTAACACTTTATCTCAATCACAGGCATGTTATCTGACTATATTGGACTAGGTTTGTTACTGGTAGTTTCTTCTACTTACAACTTCTACTACCTAACAACAAACTGTTAAAAATTGAACAGGTAATTTTCCCCCCAGAAATTTGTGGAACAAAAAGACAATAAGCCTAAGAAAAACAGTTCAAGGTATTAAAGATTGCAGCACTTCAATCTAGGGCTTTGGGGCCTACTCAAAAGTGCACTGCAGTCAATGGGAGTCTTTCCATTGATTTCTAATGAGCTTTGGATCAGGCATTAATGAATGTTTTAAAATGGATGTGCATTAACCAAGTCATTATAATTTGGTACTTGCAAAGATACATGCAATTAATTCTGGAATTTTGGTACCTGAGGGGGTCTTCCATCCACCTTAAAACAAACCCTTTTTTATTTGTGGTATAATAGGACATGCATACAGCACTGACATTTTACATTTTATTACATGTTGATCTAGATGTAACCAAAGAAGACTTAATGGAATCAGGAACAAGGGATCCATTAAATCATCTGCTAAGAACAAAGCTATATTTAAGGTATCCGGAAAAAAACAGGGAATTAATTATCCAGAAAAACAGTCTGTAATACAATACTTGGGGAAAACTTGATGGGATAAGCATATTGCTTCCAATATAGTTCTTACTTTACCTAGCATCCTCCTAAGCATGCAAGAAAAATGGGGCAAAACTACATATGCTGATCCTGCTGAAAAAATATATAAAACATTTTTAATACACTCTGGTTCTTTAGAAAAACAGGTTTGCTAGCACTTGATTGTTGCTACCTTGAGAAAAAACGGTTACTCACCTTTGTAACTGTTGTTCTTCGAGATGTGTTGCTCATATCCATTCCAATTAGGTGTGTGTGTGCCACGTGCACGGCCGTCGGAGAAATTTTACCCTATCAACACCTGGTGGGTCGGCTGTGGAGCCCCCTAGAGTGGCGCCTTCATGGCACTCAATATATACCCCAGCCGACCCAGCGCCTCCTCAGTTCCTTCTTGCCGGCTACTCCAACAGAGAGGAAGGGGAGCGGGTTTGGAATGGATATGAGCAACACATCTCGAAGAACAGTTACAAAGGTGAGTAACCATTTTTTCTTCTTCGAGTGCTTGCTCATATTGATTCCAATTTGGTGACTCCCAAGTCTTACCTAGGCGGTGGGGTCAGAGTGAAGCAATGTAGACTGCAGTACTGCTCTACCGAAAGCTGCGTCGTCTCTGGCGTGCCGGACGATGGCGTAGTGCGAGGCGAAAGTATGCACCGAAGACCAGGTCGCTGCCCTGCAGATCTCTGATGACGAGGCCTGGGCCCTTGTGGAGTGAGCAGTGAGGGGCGGGGGCGGTACACCAGCCAGATCATAGCAAGCACGGATGCAGGACATGATCCATGAAGAGATCCGTTGAGAGGAGATGGGGAGGCCCTTCATCCAGTCTGCCACTGCAACGAAGAGCTGGGTCGTCTTCCTGAACTGCTTTGTACGCTTAATGTAGAAAGCAAGGGTCCTACGGACATAGAGGGAGTGCAGCCGCTGCTCCTGGCGACTGGCGTGCAGTTTTGGATAAACTGGAAGAAAAATGTCCTGGCTGATATGGAAGGCCGATACCACCTTGGAAAGAAAGACCGGGTGAGGTCGAAGCTGCACCTTATCTTTATGGAAAATGGTGTAAGGCAGTTCTGAGGTAAGGGCTCTCAGCTCAGAGACACGCCGCGCCAACGTCATAGCAACAAAGAAAGCAGTTTTCCTGGAGAGGTAGAGAAGGGAACAGGTGGCCAGTGGCTCGAACGGGGACCCCATGAGTCTGGAGAGGACCAGGTTGAGGTCCCATGTGGGAACTGGCTGTCAAACTTGTAGTAGAGATGGTCCAGGCCCTTGAGGAACCTGCCAACCATGGGATTGGTGAAGACAGAGCAGCCATTCGCACCCGGATGAAAAGTCGAGATGGCCGCCAGGTGAACTCTGACAGAAGATGCTGCCAGGCCCTGCTGTTTTAGGTCCAGGAGATACTCTAAAATGAGAGGCACGGATGCCTGGAGAGGGGGCGTGTTGTGCTGAGTGCACCAGCACGAAAACCGCTTCCACTTAGCCATATATGTGGCCCGAGCAGAGGGCTTCCTGCTGCCCAAGAGTACTTGCTGTACAGATTCCAAAGAGAGAAATTCTGAAGGGTTTAGCCACACAGCATCCATGCCGTGAAGTGGAGAGACCGTAGGTCGGGATGGTAGAGGCGACCGTGATCCTGAGTAATCAGGTCTGGAAGAAGAGGCAATGGGACTGGAGCATCCACAGAGAGCTCCAATAGCGTAGAGTACCCATGCTGTCTGGGCCACGCCAAATCACTCGTGCCCTGTCCCTGCGCACTTTGAGCAAGACCCTGTGCACAAGGGGGAATGGGGGAAAGGCGTAAAACAGTCCATGGGAGCAGGAAAGCATCTGTGAGAGAGCCCGGGGAGCGGCCTTGGAGGGAGCAGAAAGCCGGGCATTTCCGATTGCTGCGGGAGGCAAACAAGTCGACGTGGGGAAACTCCCACTTTCGGAAGATGGGGTGGATGACATCTGGTCATAGCGACCACTCGTGGGAGCAGACGGAACTGCTCAGGTGGTCCGCCAGCGTGTTCTGGACCTCGAGTAGAAAGAACGCCACCAGGTGAATGGAGTGGGCTATGCAGAATTCCCACAGTCTAACAGCCTCCAGACAGAGAGGGGAGGAATGGGCCCCCCCTTGCTTGTTGATGTAGAACATGTCCGTGGTGTTGTCTGTGAGGACCACCACACAGCGACCCTGCAGCTGTTCCTGGAAGACTTGACAGGCCAGATGTACCGCCATTAGCTCCCAGACGTTGATATGAAGGTAGAGCACGGACGGGGGCCATAGGCCCTGCGTCTGAATGTCCCCAAGGTGGGCAACCAAGGGGGCCATAGGCCCTGCGTCTGAATGTCCCCAAGGGCTGACACATCCGTGACCAGGAACAAGGAGGGCTGAGGGCTGTGAAAAGGGACTCCTTCACAGACCACCCGGGTACCTAGTCAGCAGCGGAAGGAGGCCAGGACCCACTCCGGGATGGTGACAACCAAGTTCAGGTTGTCTCGACCTGGGCAATAGACTGATGCCAGCCAGGCTTGTAACGGGTGGAGTCGAAGTCTGGTGTGCCTGGTTACATATGTGCAGGAAGCCATGTGGCCGAGAAGACTCAAGCAACTTCTTGCCAACAAGGTTGGGAAGCTCTGAAGGCTCCGGACGAGGGCCACTATAGCCTGGAAACGAGCGTCCAGCAGGAGAACTTGTGCCTGCACGGAGTCCAGAATTGCCCCGATGAATTCTATTCTCTGAGTCGGTTCTAGTGTCGACTTTGCCACATTGAGAAGGAGGCCTAATCGACTAAATGTGTCCATGACCAAGCGGAGGTGGGACTGCACCTGTTCTATGGTGTGTCCCTGGATAAGCCAGTCGTTGAGGTAAGAGTATACCTGCACCCGCTGTCAACCAAGGAAGGCCACCACGACCGTCATACATTTGGTGAACATTCGGGGAGCCATGGAGAGACCGAAGGGAAGGGCCGTGAACTGATAGTGTTCGCGGTTGACCACAAAGCAAAGAAAGCGTCTGTGCGCTGGATGAATCGCTATGTGGAAATACGCGTCTTTCATGTCAAGGGTGGCATATCAGTCTCCAGGATCCAGGGAAGGTATAATGGTGCCCAAGGAGACCATGCGGAACTTCAACTTTACCATGAACTTGTTGAGTCTGCGTAGGTCCAGAATGGGCCGAAGCCCGCCCTTTGCCTTAGGGATTAGGAAATACCGGGAGTAAAACCTCCTGCCCCTTAGCTCCTTCAGAACCTCCTCAATCGCCCCCATGGCGAGGAGCGTCTGAACCTCCTGACTGAGGAGTTGCTCGTGAGAAGGGTCCCTCAAGAGGGATGGGGAAGGAGGGTGGGGAAGAAGAAAATTGGAGAGAGTATTCCACTTCCACCATGCGGAGAACCCAGCGGTCCATGGTTATCTGAGACCAAGCACGGAGGAAATGGGATAAACAATTCAAGAAAGGTGGGGGTAGGATCCTGAACGAGGTCCGGTATGCTGTCCTCGGGCGTCCCTTCAAAAGGCCTGTTTTGAGCTGGACGAAGGCTTGGTCGGGCCCTGGCCTTGTCCTGATGGGGGGGTTGGAGGGCTTCCTCTGCCATTACATCCCCACTGCCTATAGAAATCCTGCCTCAGTCGAGGAGGATATGAGCATTGTTGTGGCTGCTGAGGCTTGAAGGGTTTCCACTGGGTAACCAGTGTGTGCATGTCCAGGGACTTCATTATTGCCCTTGAGTCCTGAAGGCTTTGTAGCCTTAAATCTGTCTTTCCCAAAAGGGGAGGTCCTGTAGTGTTTGCTGAAATTCTGGTGGTAGACCGGAGGCTTGCAGCCAGGAGAGATGCCTCATCACGATCCCTGAGGACAAAGTACATGCAGCGGAGTCTGCAGCATCCAGCGAGACCTGCAACGAGGTCTGTGTTACTGTTTTGCCCTCTTCCGCCAAAGCCCCAAACTCCTCTCTGGACTCAGGCGGTACTAACTCCTTAAACTTCAGCATGGAGTTCCAGGAGTTAAAATTGTAATGGCTCAGGGGCGCCTGCTGATTAGCGATCCTGAGCTGAAGTCCCTCTGAGGAATAAACTTTGCGCCCAAACAAATCAAGGCGCTTGGCATCCTTCAATTTGGGTGCTGGGGCCTGCTGGCCATGCCGTTCTTTTTTGTTCACTGACGCCACCATGAGCAAACAGAGCTGTGAGTGGGTGAACAGATAAGCATACCCCTTCGAGGGGACGAAGTATTTCCACTCCACTCCCTTAGCAGTCAGGGGAATGGACGCAGGTGTCTTCCAGATTGTTCTGGCAGTGGTTTAGATGGTCCGAATAAGGGGTAGGACCACCCTTGATGGAGCTTCCATGGACAGAATATCCACCACGGGGTCCTCCACCTCTACCACCTCCTCCGCCTTCAGGTTCATATTCCACACCACCCTGCACAGGAGGTCCTGGTGGGCACCGAGGTCTATCAGAGGGGGACCCGAGACTGCAGTGCCTGCCACCACCTCGTCAGGTGAGGAGGAGGAGGAGGCCACTGGGGAAAAGAGGGTAATGTAGGGCCTCTTGCGGAGCTGGGCCCAGCTGTTCTGTGCCAGCCACCTCAGGATCCGAACCAGGAACCAGTGTTGGAGGAGGTCCTGTAGCAGGGAGAGAAGCCACCAAGGTCTCTTGCCTCCAGCGTGGGCCGACTGGCGGTAGCTTCTGGCACTCATGTCTCGAACAGGGCTGATCGAGAAGACCCAGACAGAGCACATGGGCCTGGTGCTACGCCCAGGGCGTCCAGAAGGGCCATTGAGTGGGCCCTTGAACGGGACCTTGCTCCTGCGCCTGCCAATGCTCAGCCCCTGACTCCAGGCGGCTATGGTCCAAATGGCGGTGTTTGGAGAAACGTGACCCCGCCTCCGATCCTGAAGAATGAGAAGCGGAAGATAAGGGCCATGGTGGTGCCGAGCGGATCTGCGCCGGGTAGCATCAACGAGGCGATGTCGAACAGTGCCATGACGCTGGGGAGCAGTGCCGGGACCTGGACCAGTACTAGGATCTGGAACAGTGCCTGGATCTAGAGCTGGGCCAAAATGATGACCAGCATCGAGAGCGGCGTTGGCTCTGGGATCTGCTCCTCGACAGCGACCGGTGGGCAGATTGGTACCACGGCCAAGACCGATGCCGGGAGTCGGAGCGGTGCTGCAAGTACGACCAGTGCTGCGAGTATGACCGGTGCCGTGAAGGAGGACGGTGTCGGGACTGCAAGCAGCATCAGGACTGCGAGCGGCGTCGGGAGCGGTGCCGAGAGCGGGACCGGTGCCACGGCTCGACCAATGGTGCTGGTGGGTGGATTAGGGCCAGCTTGCCCCGGGACAGTGCCGCATGTACAGGAACCGGTGCTTTGGCATGAGGCTGAGGGGATACCGATGCCATCATGGCAATAAGATCCCGTGCAGCCGCAAAGGTATCCGGAGTGGACGGCAACTGGACTTCAACCACGCTGCATGTCGGGGAGTCCAGAGGCACCAGACTCAACAGCTCTCCCCTTGGGGCCAGAGTCAATGGTGCCGAAGCCATAGACTGTGCCCCTTGATGCTCCCCTGCGGGACGCTTCTCCATGGGCGGTTCCAGAGAGGCTGGTCTCTGAGGAGGCGGGCCACCCTTTTCAGCTTCTGGTGCCGCTTCTGGCCAGGAGAATGGGAGCGTTGCCGGGCAGATGATGTCAGAAGCTTGCAGTGCCGGGTAGCATTGGTGCCGCGGGTCTCGGTCAGAGTCCAACCATGGTGTAGCTCCTACTGCTGCCGCCAGGTGCTGCGCACCAAGGGGCTTGGTGCCAGATCCTGGCGTGCCGCAGGAGACTGAGAGCTAAGGGCCGCCTCCATGAGGAGCTGTTTTAAACGAAAGTCCCGCTCCTTCTTAGTTCGGGGATGAAACCCTTTGCAGATCCTGCACTAGTCTGCTTGATGAGACTCCCCCAGACACTTCAGGCAAGAGTCATGGGGGTCGCCTGTTGGCATGGGCTTAGAGCAGGAACCACAGGGCTTAAATCCTGGAGCCTTGGGCATGAGCCCAAGAGAAAAATTGGGAAGGAGGAGGAAAAAACCCCAACCCACTAATACTAACTATAATTATCAACAACTATAACTATTAACTATTAACTGTGAACTATTAACTATTAACTATAAACTATGCTAGGGAGAGTGGAGAGCAGCAAAGCAGGACTCCACAATTCCAACGACCATCACGGGCGCTAAGAAAGAACTGAGGAGGGGCTGGGTCGGCTGGGGTATATATCGAGTGCCATGAAGGTGCCACTCTAGGGGGCTCCACAGCCAACTCACCGGGTGTTGCCAGGGTAAAAATTCTCCGATGGACATGCACGCGGCGCGAGCACACCTCATTGGAATCGATATGAGCAAGCACTCGAAGAAGAAACTGTGAAAGTTTCATCATTATATTGTCTCATTAAAAGTGTAGTAGATAAAGAGGACATCAAGGTCCCTGAGTCTCTACTCAAATTGTAGCCATACCATGCAAGTGCAGTTCTTACAGCCATCTGTCCAGGATTCAAATTCTCTGTAGGTGGTGCCCTTCATGACGCAGGTCCTTTCACAATAGCACTGATCCAATTTAGTCATCCTCTGCTCAGCTCGGGACAGCTGTACACATTTCACAAAGATGAGTTATTACATTGGTAAACAGTTTCCATATAATTAAATAATGATCTAACTGCCATCTACCATCCAGGATTGCAGAGTGAAAAAGTACGTGTGTGAAAATGCAGTCAGATGATGACTAAGTGGTTATTGTGAAATATTAAATGATTCCCCGGGCTGAGGGGGTGGGGAGCTGCCGCGGGGGGGGGGGTGTGCCTCAGGGCGGTGGGGGGAGCTGCTGCAGGGCCCCCCACCCCAGCTCACCTGTGCTCCGCCTCCTCCCCAGCACGCCACCCCCGCTCTAATTCTCCTCCCCTCCCAGGCTTGCGGCGCCAAACAGCTGATTTAGTCTGACAGATAGAGCTTGCATATTTATAAACCCTTGTTCAGGAAAGTTGATGGTATTTACTATGAAAATGTGCAATTGCATGAAAACATTGAAATGTAAGAAAGCTCTCTGAATGTGTCAAGGCTGTATCCCCACTTTGAACTTTAGGGTACAAATGTGGGGGCGTGCATGAAAACTTCTAAGCTTAACTACCAGCTTAGTTCTGGTCTGCTACCACCATTCCCAAATGGATTCCCTTCCCTGGGAAGCCTTGAGAAACCTTTCACCAATTCACTGGTGAATACAGATCCAAACCCCTTGGATCTTAAAACAAGGAGAAATTAACCATTCCCCTCCTTCCTCCCACCAACTCCTGGTGGATCAAGATCCAAACCCCTTGGATCTTAAAACAAGGAGAAATTAACCCTCCCCCCTCCTTCCTTTCACCATCTCCTGGTGAATACAGATCCAACCCCTTTGGATCTAAAAACAAGGAAAAATCAATCAGGTTCTTAAAAAGAAGATTTTTAATTAAAGAAAAAGGTAAAAAATCATCTCTGTAAAATCAGTATGGAAAATAACTTTACAGGGTAATCAAACTTAAAGAGCTCAGAGGACCTCCCTCTAGCCTCAGGTTCAAAGTATAGCAAACAAAGATAAACACTTTAGTAAAAGGTACATTTACAAGTTGAGAAAACAAAGTAAAACTAAGATGCCTTGCCTGGCTTTTTACTTACAAGTTTGAAATAT